GTCCCCCTCACCAGCTCTGAGATCATGCTGGGCCTTAGCACAGGCATACAATCCATTAGCAAGGTAAGCTGAAAGAGTTGTCATCACCAGCTCTGAAATCATGCAGGGCCTTAGCACAGGCATACAATCCATTAGCAAGGTAAGCTGAAAGAGTTGTCATCACCAGCTCTGAGATCATGTTGGGCCTTAGCACAGGCATACAATCCATTAGCAAGGTAAGATGAAAGTGTCTCAATCACCAGCTCTGAAATCATACTGGGCCTTAGCACAGCCATACAATCCATTAGCAAAGTAAGCTGAAAGAGTTGTCATCACCAGCTCTGAGATCATGCTGGGCCTTAGCACAGGCATACAATCCATTAGCAAGGTAAGCTGAAAGAGTTGTCATCACCAGCTCTGAGATCATGCAGGACCTTAGCACAGGCATACAATCCATTAGCAAGGTAAGCTGAAAGAGTCCCCATCACCAGCTCTGAAATCATGCAGGGCCATAGCCCAGGTATACAATCCATTAGCAAGGTAAGCTGAAAGAGTCGTCATCACCAGCTCTGAGATCATGCAGGGCCTTAGCGCAGCCATACAATCCATTAGCAAGGTAAGCTGAAAGAGTTGTCATCACCAGCTCTGAGATCATGCTGTGCTTTAGCACAAGCATACAATCCATTATCAAGGTAAGCTGAAGGAGTTGTCATCACCAGCTCTGAAATCATGCTGGGCCATAGCCCAGGTATACAATCCATTAGCAAGGTAAGCTGAAAGAGTTGTCATCACCAGCTCTGAAATCATGCAGGGCCTTAGCGCAGCCATACAATCCATTAGCAAAGTAAGCTGAAAGAGTTGTCATCAGCAGCTCTGAGATCATGCTGGGCCATAGCCCAGGTATACAATCCATTAGCAAGGTAAGCTGAAAGAGTTGTCATCACCAGCTCTGAAATCATGCTGGGCCTTAGCGCAAGCATACAATCCATTAGCAAGGTAAGCTGAAAGAGTTGTCATCACCAGCTCTGAAATCATGCTGGGCCATAGCCCAGGTATACAATCCATTAGCAAGGTAAGCTGAAAGAGTCCCCATCACCAGCTCTGAGATCATGCTGGGCCTTAGCACAGGCATACAATCCATTAGCAAGGTAAGCTGAAAGAGTTGTCATCACCAGCTCTGAAATCATGCTGGGCCATAGCCCAGGTATACAATCCATTAGCAAGGTAAGCTGAAAGAGTTGTCATCACCAGCTTTAAGATCATGCTGGGCCTTAGCACAGACATACAATCCATTAGCAAGGTACATGTAAGCTGAAAGAGTTGTCAACACCAGCCCTGAGATCATGCTGGGCCTTAGCACAGGCATGCAATCCATTAGCAAGGTAAGCTGAAAGAGTCCCCGTCACCAGCTCTGAGATCATGCTGGGCCTTAGCACAGGCATACAATCCATTAGCAAGGTAAGCTGAAAAAGTTGTCATCACCAGCTCTGAGATCATGCTGGGCCATAGCCCAGGTATACAATCCATTAGCAAGGTAAGCTGAAAGAGTTGTCATCACCAGCTCTGAAATCATGCTGGGCCTTAGCACAGGCATACAATCTATTAGCAAGGTAAGCTGAAAGAGTCCCCATCACCAGCTCTGAGATCATGCTGGGCCTTAGAACAGGTATACAATCCATTAGCAAGGTAAGCTGAAAGAGTTGTCATCACCAGCTCTGAGATCATGCTGGGCCTTAGCACAGGCATACAATCTATTAGCAAGGTAAGCTGAAAGAGTCCCCATCACCAGCTCTGAGATCATGCAGGGCCATAGCCCAGGTATACAATCCATTAGCAAGGTAAGCTGAAAGAGTCGTCATCACCAGCTCTGAGATCATGCTGGGCCTTAGCACAGGCATACAATCCATTAGCAAGGTAAGCTGAAAGAGTTGTCATCACCAGCTCTGAAATCATGCTGGGCCTTAGCACAGGCATACAATCTATTAGCAAGGTAAGCTGAAAGAGTCCCCATCACCAGCTCTGAGATCATGCTGGGCCTTAGCACAGGCATACAATCCATTAGCAAGGTAAGCTGAAAGAGTTGTCATCACCAGCTCTGAGATCATGCAGGACCTTAGCACAGGCATACAATCGATTAGCAAGGTAAGCTGAAAGAGTCCCCATCACCAGCTCTGAGATCATGCTGGGCCTTACCACAGGTATACAATCCATTAGCAAGGTAAGCTGAAGGAGTTGTCATCACCAGCTCTGAGATCACGCTGGGCCATAGCCCAGGTATACAATCCGTTAGCAAGGTAAGCTGAAAGAGTTGTCATCACCAGCTTTGAGATCATGCTGGGCCTTACTTACATTTGTACAGTCCCCATATTGAATAGTCGATACGGACCGATTTCCGCTGTACAAACATAATCCAATGGTTTTGTTATCATTGATAAATGTATCAACTGTTTCAGGGACCTGTTTAATGCAGCGTTCGTCTCATGTTGGTCAGAGTTGCACGAACAACAACAAGATGAACTGATTTCAAGTTTAGAGCAAGCACTAACAGCTCAAGATATACCAGAAATAACTCAAACTTTATTAAATCTAGCAGAATTTATGGAACATTGTGATAAGGTTTGTGTTTTACCATATCCACATTTATTAAACTAGAGATCTGACTTACAGCTCGTAGATGTTTTGTACATGTTGGCCTGTGGTACAGAAATAAATTATTTTACATTACACAGGACACAAGATGATTAGTCTGTCATATTATGAACAATGGGTTATAATCTGTCATTGTTGCCACTAGAGGGCATCCTTTCTTATCGTATGTTACTTAATGAACACTCAAAGGTGCTGACACCATATAGAATTTGTCGATAATTCTTTGTTGCCAAATGTATTTTAAAATTTTGTTTAATTTGTACAGGGCCCGCTTCCAATAGATAATACTCTACTTGGTGAGCGTGCAACCAAATGTCGTGCCTATGCTAAGGCTTTACATTACAAAGAAGAGGAGTTTCACAGAGGTCCAAATACCGTTATATTGGGAGCACTTATTAGGTATTTATTCAGGGAAGGTTGATTTGTCCCAAGTCGATTCGTCTCACAAGTTGATTCATTCTAAGTCGATTCATCTCACTAGTCGACGGTGAATGGTACATGCTTGGTCAAACAAAATGAAGGCGATGTTTGTAAGCACGACATAATTTAAACAGTAGTTTGAATTTGTTTCTTTCACTTGTACGGTTATTAATGTCAGCTGATAGCTATATACTCTTTCAATACAGTGTAAGTATGGTATAAAATAAAATAAAATAAAATAAAATAAAATAAAATAAAATAAAATAAAATAAAATAAAATAAAATAAAAAAGACACGCCGAGCGTGTCAGTAACTAAAAATTACCCACAAAGACACAGCACACATCGTACATTGATTTCAACTCAGGCACACAAACATAGAAATCGACATCGCCCTTCCCAAAATCATAATGTTGACCAAAAATAAAAATGGGGCAAAGTCAAATGGGACGAATGTGAATTGGAGCGAATCGACTTGTGGGACGAATGTGTTGAGCCGAATGTAAATTGAGACAAATCGACCTGTGAGATGAATGTGTTGAGACGAATGTAAATTGGAGCGAATCGACTTTTGGGATGAATGTGTTGAGACGAATGTGAATTGAGACGAATCGACCTGTGAGATGAATGTGTTGAGACGAATGTGAATTGAGACAAATCGACCTGTGAGATGAATGTGTTGAGACGAATGTAAATTGGAGCGAATCGACTTTTGGGATGAATGTGTTGAGACGAATGTGAATTGAGACGAATCGACCTGTGGGATGAATGTGTTGAGCCGAATGTAAATTGGAGCGAATCGACTTTTGGGATGAATGTGTTGAGACGAATGTGAATTGAGACGAATCGACCTGTGGGATGAATGTGTTGAGCCGAATGTGAATTGGGACGAATCGACTTGTGGGATGAATGTGTTGAGACGAATGTGAATTGGGACAAATCGACTTGTGGGATGAATGTGTTGAGACGAATGTGAATTGAGACGAATCGACTTGTGGGATGAATGTGTTGAGACGAATGTGAAGTGGAGCGAATCGACTTGTGGATGAATGTGTTGAGACGAATGTGAATTGAGACGAATCGACCTGTGAGATGAATGTGTTGAGACGAATGTAAATTGGGACGAATCGACTTGTGCAATAAATGTGTTGAGACGAATGTGAATTGAGACGAATCTACTTGTGGGATGAATGTGTTGAGACGAATGTGAATTGGAGCGAATCGACTTGTGTATGAATGTGTTGAGACGAATGTGAATTGGGGCGAATCGACTTATGGGATGAATGTGTTGAGACGAATGTGAATTGGGACGAATCGACTTGTGGGATGAATGTGTTGAGATGAATGTGAATTGGAGCGAATCGACTTGTGGGATGAATGTGTTGAGACGAATGTG